ATACATTGAAAAATGATAATGTTCAGTTCAAATTAACAAGTTAAATATGCATGTTAGAAATGAATTTAATAATTCTATTTTTTTATCTTTTAATTCTCACATTAACGTCACAATTATCTGCTTATTTTTTAGCCTTGTTTTTTATTCATCACGATAAATTCTCGATATCGATCGTGTCGAAATATTCATGATAAACTTTGCAATGCATCTTTAAACGGAGAATTTAAGATAATGAGACGACCATGACTACCAATAATGCTCCAATAATCCGACTTTTATTGTTAGGTTTCCACTTCAGCATCACCATTTCACATTATGTTCGGGCTATTGCTTCACTCGTCAGGGTAGTTTCTTAATATCATTATTCACGGCAAACTTCACAATTCATCTTATATATTGAAAATCTATTAAACAGCAATTTTAAAAATAATAGGTTACAGAACACTGTTAAATTAAATTCAACAATCCATTTTTGTTTCCATGTCTAGATGTCATTTAAAGTAAAATTATATTAGAAGTCAATTTAATTTGTCTATCGCTAGTATAATTATATATAAATCTATGATGAAACTTTGAGATGTTTTACCGAATTTTTATAAGTAATTTTTTTTGTAGAAGGATAAATAAATAAATAAAAATTCATAAAATATTTGGGGGTCTGTCCCGATAACCCTGTCTAGTTATTCGTCTTTAACATGATTAACCTTTAAAGTTGGAATTATCTTAATATTTCGAAGTTTGCTATAAAAAATAATAACATCTACTAGCTCTACCTAATACATCAAAATTTTAGTGCAAGAGTTCAATTTTTAAGAAAAAATTAATATGTATAATAGCTGATACCTAATACAACAAATATTTCTAGCACGAGTCTGGTTTCTCTTCGTTTGTAAGATTTAATATATCTAATAGCTGTAATCTAATAAAACAAAATTTTATAGCGAGTCAGATTTACACTTGTTTAAGAATCCATAAACTAAGCATAGATAATCTTATGGACAGTTCTGGCGTGAGGTTTTCATCTTCTTTCCTTGGATGTTCCAACTACCAATCATAGATCAACCCTCCTCTCTTCCAGAATAGTAGTATATAATCACTGACATACCAACATTTGCAGGTATATTTCTCTTTCTTTGACTCTGTCCTTGATTAATTTTCATTTGTGTCAAGCAATGGAGAGCCAAAGCAACGTTGATCCTCTGCATAATCATGACATCCGTATCTCAACCCCTCAAGGCCCAACTCCATCTAAGGCCCGTCGCTCTGATTTTCCCAAAGATTTTATCTTTGGTGCTGCAACATCCGCTTATCAGGTTTGTGTGTGGTGATGATTTTAGTTTCTTTTTTCTTTGTTAATACTTTCTACAGATATATTCACCTTATTAAACTCCCGTTAGGTAGCAATTTTTCACCCAAAAAAATTATTTTTTTAACCTTTATTTTATTATTTCAGCCGCCATTTTTTATTTCTTTACGTATCGATGAGACCCACTTTTCTCTTTAATAATCAAAAAATAAATTCTCATAATCATTACCGAACAGACACTAAACATACTATTAATATTGATGGGAAGATAATAAGAATTGTTAAAAAAATCTAGAGAATGCATGTATACGTAAGAAGGCTCGTGCAAATGTAATTGAAATTGCATGTGTTCTTCCTAATAATTATCGGGGGGAAAAAGTGCAACAAACACTTGATTTATTGGAAAAAATAAAAAAAACGAAAATATTATTCAATGAAAACGAAAAGTAAGAAAGAAACGTGGATGAATTTAGTTGGACACCCACTTACCATCTCCCCACATAAAGTTAGAATGCTAAACGCCATGCATGCACACTTTACTCTTTTTTCTGCTTTTCTCTCTGCAGTCTACACTAAGCCCAGTTTGATTTTCATTCTTATAAGAATGATAATAAAAAATATAGTCGTTATGAGATCCACACAAGAGAGAAGGAGTCAAATATGGTGGCTTAATATGATAAATAACGATCATATTTTTCATTTTCTTGATCAAAGATGGGAAACAAACGGGGCATAAATCTATCGAACATAAATTTAGCTGCAATTTTTTCGCCCACTATAATATTATTCGGTGCAGTGGACCACCTACTATAGTTTTTCTATACCAAGACCAATTAAAAATAGCTTTGTTTGAGTCAAATCCTATATATAATTCGTGTTTTGGGCCATATATATAATATGTGCAGGTCGAAGGTGCCTGGAATGAAGCTGGCAAAGGCGAGAGTAATTGGGATCGTTTTACAGCAGATCATCCTGGTCTCTCTCTCTCTCTCTCTCTCTCTCTCTCTCTCTCTATATAGACACACACTCACACGCACAAGCATCACACAAACAAGGGTGTATATGTGTTTTCTAAGGGATTTTTGTTGAGGTGACAGATAAAATTCAAGACAAAGGCAACGGACGTTTGGCTATTGATCACTACCATCTGTGGAAGGTACTTCACTATAGCATGTTTATTCCAACTTTTAACATTGGATGGGCCTGAATAGAAATTAATGTCAGGATTGAGCTAGGTTTACAGCAATTTATACAATCATCTCACATGGATGGACCCACGATTAAAAATCGAGGGCGGTATAAATTGCTTGTACAGCACAAAACCCTTAATTTAAACTTATCCGTGTTGGTGTACATGACACTTGAATTATATTAATTTGGAAATAGTCTTTCTCTAATCACGTGGAATAAAATAATACGCTTAATAAGAAGATTTAGACCAAATTATTTATTTGAATAATGTGAAAAAATTTACATGATTTGCAATATGTAAACTTATGTGTAAACAAATACTTCACTTATAATTAAATAAGTCCCCATTTAGCCCCCATTTTTTTAAAGCTTATTTTATCCAAATTCATTTTCAAGCATAAATTTTAGGGAATACAATTTTAACCACTCATTTCATCAATTTTTATCACAATCTATTAAAAATTTAATTTTTAATCCAATCAATCAGGGGCCAAGAAAGTTTTTTAAAATTTGGAGTTCTTTTATTTAATTGAAGTTAATGTTAAAAAGTCACCTTTTTATTTATTTATTTTGATAATACCATAAGGTGGTGCTTAGAAGTTTTTCCCATCGATTTTGGGTGGCATCTTTTATTAGGAGTTAAAAAAATCAGTGCATGATATTTTTGGGTTTGAATGGTTTAAAATTAACCAAAAATAATTTTAGTGTAATTTTGACTGATTCTTGTAACCCACCAAATCGACGAATTTTAATTGTTTCTCATATTTTATCCTAATTTTACCCTCTATAAAATAATTATTTACAGGCCAATTTATTTTGTTCAAAACTAACTTGTACATAAAAATATATTAACTAAAAAATTATTTATAAGTAAAAAAATTATATTATAATTAAAAAATTAATAATAAATAAATATTACGTTGAAGATAAATCTCTTTTATGTACTTTTTTTTACAAAATAAAAATTCTACTAATAACGCAAAAATTCACTTGAAAATATAAAAAAATGCTTATAAGTAAAAAGGAAATATTTAAAATTACATAACTAATTTATAATTATAAATTTTATTTATAAGTAAAAAATAAACTTAAAATTTTAATAAAACATTTAACTTTCTTTAACTTTTAAGTTATATATTAACTTTTTGTGTGTGTGTGTATATATATATATATATATATATATATAAGTAAAATATCATTTGTAAATAAAAAATTACATATAAGAAACTATAAATTGAAAATTTCACTAAGTAATTTATATGTAATTTTATTCTTTTAAAAAAATTTCAAAAGGAATGGATAATAATCTCGCAAGTATTGATTGGACTATATTAAAAATTATTACTATAATCACTAAAAATTGATATGCTCATAAACATTTAAAATCAGCACTTTTAGAAAAAGGTTATAATCGATACCTTGAAACTTCCAACCGGACCCTAAGAGTACTTTTAAATAGGGCTAGAAAAAACTCCCGAATCAAACCAATCGAACCCGATCGAGCGATTCTTCTTAAGTTAAATATCTAACCGGAACGGGTATTTAAATCAAGAACTGACAGGTTTGGTTTGATTCTCAATTCTTGATCTAGAACTGAAAAACTAAATAAGAACTGAATCTGCCAAAATTTTTTAATTAATTTATTTTAAATAAGTTAAATTATTTTATTTTTTCTAAATAAATTTATTAACTCGTTAATTTAACTCAAACCCAAAATTATGATTTTCCTAGTTTTGATTTTGAGTTCAAAACCAATTTAATCAAATTGATTTAAGTTTTTTATCCAAATCTTTTAATCTACCATAGTATCGTTTCTACCGTTCTGGAGTAATCGAATTGAAACTCGACAACGCTTTTCTTAATTATTGTGAGCTCGTTATTTTCCTCTTGTAATTTTAACAATCAAATCTATGAAATACACAGCAAAGAAAGACGTAGAAGACACATAAGATTGAACTATGTTATTTTGTAAGAGCTAAGATTGAACATATTATTAGTTTAATTAATGTAGTTTTGTAAATATTAAAAATTTTAACTATAATACGGAATCTGGAACTGAATGAAACCAAACCCGAACGGTTCCATAAATAAATTTGGACCTAACGATTCTACTAACTAAATATCCGAAAATTCTGGATCTGATTCGATTTTCATTAGAACCGAATAGTCGGACCATGTCCAGCCCTATTTTTAAAAATGTAAATTTTTTATTTATATATATATATATATATATATATATATAAACGCATTAACTTATAATTAAACAAGCAAGTTTAAAATAAAATAACATTTTTATTGATCTAAGTTAAAAATATGCAAGTTTTTTATTTTGGCACAAATTAAATGTTAACTTCTGGAAAAAAAAAACTATATATATTGAATAAGAAAGTAAGTTATCAAACATATTTAAAGACAAAATTTGTTTAAAAGTAAATTTACTTTACTTTTTAAGAGTTGCGCAATTGGCATGATAAGAATATTCCTAGCCTGTGTAGGCCTACTCCCACTGCCTTTTCGCCAAATAAGCTCAACCAAGATACTGTTATAAATTTTTACATTTCAATACTTAAGTGTTCTTTTGATAAAATGTAGCATCGAATGTTCTATTTTAACACTACACCATAATCTTTGTACAATCTTCTAATCCAGTCCTCACTAAACATAATCCTACTAAATATATCCCCTTAGTATCAAATGTAACTTAGGTTGAATAAATTGTTATTTTGATATTTATAATTGAAAATTTTACTTATTTTGATAAGTGTTAGCTATTTTATGACACACACACACACAAATAAATTAAGTATGTTATTTTTTTATTCTCATTTTAGCATAAAATAGTAACATACTTTGAAAGGATAGTATTGACTTACTATCAAAATGATACTCTCAAACAAATAACTTATTTCAATTTTAATATAGAAACAAAAGATTTAACAAAAATCTACTTATGAGTAGGGACGGAGGTGCAAGGGGTGACTACACTTAATTATATTCGTCTCCAGAGGGTTCGTAGGGAAAAACTTTAGCCCACAAATTTTAAGAAGTTGTAGTCTATTATCTATCCCCATGATGTTTGCCCCACAAATGTGCCTACTAATTTTTTTCGTCTACAAATGCTTTTTCCCACAAATACGAACATTTCCATACAAATAAATTTTGTACGGAAAACATAAAATTCTCGTAGTGATAGCTTCACTACTTATAAGTTAAGCTCCACTACTTGTAAGTTGTAAGTTAACATGTTAACCTTAGCCAAAAACTATACAAGGATAACTCGAATATAAACTTTTTTTTTTAATTTTAATTTCATTGGATTTCAATGATTCTGTCCTTTTTTAATTACAAATATTCCACCTTCAAATTAGCTGTTGAGTTCCACGATAACTAGAAAACAATAACGAGAAATTCTTTGTACTTATTTTCAATAATGTTTCAGGAAGATGTGACTTTGATAAAGAAAGTGGGTTTGGGTTCTTATAGATTTTCAATTGCTTGGACGAGAATATTACCAGGTAAATGTGTGCATACGTATAGTGCATCATTTTTTATCAAAAATAATAATCAATCTAAATTGGCATTTCAGGAGGAAGATTAAGTGCTGGTGTAAATAGAGAAGGAATTAATTACTATAATGATCTCATAAACTTGCTCTTGGGCGAAGGTGTTGTCTTTTGTCTTTAACGATTATTCTTACCTTGCATGTTAAATGTTAATTACTATAATGATCTCATCATTTTTTGTTTACTTCAAGAGTTAAATGTTAAAACTAACATAGTTTTATTTAAGAAGCGGAATTAAAATGATAAAAGATCTTACCTTGTATTCTTGTAAACTATTTTATAGGCATTATACCTTGTGCAACTATCTTTCATTGGCATGTTCCCCAATGTTTGGAAGACGAGTATGGTGGCTTTCTAAGCCCTCGAATTGTGTAAGTAAAAATGCGTAACTAGGTACAATTACTTGGGAATTTTCGGAAAAAGAAAGCAAATTTAAAAGAAACAAGGATATTTATTCAGAAATATTTTGGAAATCCCCTTTAGACAAATTGAATTTCTGTACTATCAAGTTCAGCTCTTATACGAAAATTGAGTAAGTTAATGTTGCAGTTAAAACGTATTATACAGTGGAACTTTTTTTGATACATTCTTGTGTATTATAGGGAAGATTTTTCTGATTTTGCTGAGATTTGTTTCTGGGAATTTGGTGATCGTGTGAAACTTTGGATCACATTGAATGAGCCATGGAGCTTTTCTGTTTCCGGATATGCATTAGGTTCTTTTGCACCTGGCCGGGGTCCAACACACGAGGACCATGTAACAAAACCTGTCCATCGCCATAGATGCAATGTTCAGGATCCAATTATTTGCAGCGATGGAAATCCAGGCACCGAACCGTATATTGTTGCACATCATTTGATCCTTGCTCATGCAGTAGCAGTTGATATATACAAGAAAAACTTTCAGGTTGTTGTTTTTATCTTATGCAAGCAATTCTGTTCACTTTTGAGATTTTGTAATAGTTTATGCAAATACATTTGTACAGAAACTTCAAGGGGGCAAGATAGGAGTCACAAATGTTACAGCATGGTATGAACCACTCAATAACACAACAGCTGATAAAGAAGCTGCTTCAAGGGCAGTTGATTTTTCGTTGGGATGGTAAGTGGTTCTGCCCAGTTTCTTGAAGCCCCAAGTACTTAGTTAATTTTTTGATTGAACAGTATCACAATTAGGGGCTGGCTTTTACCTGTTTTTATTCTCTATTCTCGGTAGTTTTATGTATAAAAAATTGTGAATTTCTTAACTGTTGCCAATTATTCTGTATTCATAGAGAATCATTGATGTCCAAATCCTTAATATTCAAAGGAGTCAACGAGTTTTTGAGTCACTTAGTTAGAATCAGTTCGGGGAGAAGGAAAAACTTCTCTTTTGGGAAGCCAAAGTACTTAATTAGTTTGGGGGTGGGGCAAAAACTTGAACGTGATTAGAACCTCTCTTCAGTTGGTTCGAAACTTTAGTAATCAATTCTGAAGAATTTAAGTGAGACAAAAAAATGGCTCCTACTTTAGAAGTTTTCTTCCTGGTCGCAAGTCTCAATCCTATTTTACGCTTTTTCAGGTTTGTAGCACCCGTGGTTACTGGTGATTACCCACCAGTTATGAGACGATTAGTAGGAGACCGCCTTCCCAAATTTACACCAGAACAGGCTAATCTGGTGAAGGGATCCTATGACATTTTAGGAATAAATTATTACACTACACAATATGCAACCAATTCACCTAAGACACCTGGTGCAAGACCAAGTTACAATACCGATCAGGAGGTTCAAACATCAAGTAAGTATGAGATCTTTTTCATGTACATGATAACCTCATAAACATTATATGTCATAACACACTTGTAATGTGGTTCTCACTCTCTCAATACGCTGTAGCTGAACGTAATGGGACGCCGATTGGTGAACAGGTATGTTAATACTTTTCCCTTTCCTCAGAAATAAAAATTAGATATAGATCAGATAATCCAACAGTTTATGCTTCAGCATTTATTTACGCAGAAGAGATTTCAATGATTTATTCTAGTGCATACGTAATAATAGGCTGCTCAAAGATATAACTTACTATACCATTGGTTTCTATTGTTTATAAACAAGTTTCTAATATAATTTTAATCTCCTTCATTTTGTCAGGCTGGTTCGAGTTGGTTGTTCATTGTTCCAGAAGGGCTTTACAAGCTCTTGGTTCATATGAAAGAAAGATACAGTAATCCCAACATTTACATCACAGAGAATGGTAAATTCACAGCACATTGCTAAGACTTTTTTCTACTGCAAAATACTAATGTAACTTAATGGATGATTTTATGAAGGGGTGGATGAATTAAACAACAAAACAACAGTTGCACAAGCTCGGTTTGATGACATGAGGGTTAGATATCACCATGACCACCTTGTTCAACTTAAAAAAGCAATGGAGTAAGTCATCATTCATATAATTATTGAATCGACCCAGACTGTAAATTTGTAAAATGAATTGACTATTCTTGTAACAAAACTAATCTTCATACTTTCGCTTTCATATTCAGCCACGGTGTTCGGGTGAAGGCTTATTATATATGGTCAATGTTCGACAATTTTGAATGGGCTGATGGGTACAGCGTTAGGTTTGGTATCATTCATGTAGATTTTGAGAATAATCAGTTGAAAAGGTTCCCAAAGAGCTCTGCTATATGGTGGACGAATTTCTTGAACGTGAAGAAGGTCAAGAAGCAGGTCAAGGACAAGAAGCAGGACAAGAAGCTCTTCCTTCTGTTCTGAAATGTTATGTTGAATAATGCATGTGTGCTGTAGTTCCTTTGTTTGCTTGTAGTTTGCTGTGGGAATCGAAAGCTCAGTTTCTGTAAATGAAAGATTTCGAGTGTGTTCCGCTTCTCTTTAGTTTGTCGAATAATGCATTTTTGGAATGCGTCTGTATTTGTATATTGTGTGTACGCTAACACGCGATCTTCATTCTAAGAACATTATTTTCTCCACTTGTTTGTATTTGGTGTAATGAGTTTAGGTTGTGAAATTGTTTCTTTTTCTTTAGAAGTTCTGTGACTTCAAACGAAAACACCTTATTTGAGCCCCATTACACTACAACAAAAATGGTTTTTTGCAACATGCAAAAGACAACATTCGTTAATTAAACGTTGCTAAAGGGGTCAATCGCAACATTCAAATACATGAATGTTGCCATTGCTTAATATAAATGAGCTTTGGTAATATTTTTTAAGTAAATGTTGCTAATGTCGCCTTTTTGCAACGTTTATTTAGTGTTGCGAAAAGTTTTCTCTTTCGCAACATTTATAAAATGTTGCAAAAAGTTTTGGTTTTGGCAACGTTTATAAAACGTTGCAAAAATCTATCTTTGGCAACGTTTATAAAAAATTTGCCAAAAGCCGTCTCTTGCAACGTTTATAAAACGTTGCAAAAAGTTTTATTTTTCACAACATTTATAAACGTTGCCAAAAATCGATCTTTGACAACGTTTATAAAAGGTTGTGAAAACCTTTTTTTTAGGCAATTAATGGACGAGACTAAGAGTAAAATAGGTAGAGGTAATACTCAAACCACGAGTTTTACTCCCACGCGATCGGCGCCGCTCGTCTCTCCTCTCTATCCCGCCACCTTCCACCACTGACCACCGGCCTCCCACATTCGAGCCCTAAACGCAGGTCACGCAACACCTTCAAGCCCTAGACACAGCAACTTCAAGCCCTTGAACTTCGCGAGATGCGGCAGCCAGCAACAGTCCTTCGAGTCTACATTTCCACCAATGATTCAACGGCAAAGGAAAAAGAAGGTAAAGCCCCTTGATTCTAATTCCTAAACCGCACTGAAGTTCTATCTGAAAATTAATTTTCTTGTTCATTCTGTGAATCCCATTTAAAAGAGCAAGTTTTTGGGTTTTTGAATTTTCTTTTTCTAGCTCCTAGTTTTTCACAAGATTTGTCAATTAATTGATGATTTATTTGTTGTAATTGAGTTAGCTTTGAAAATATGCTTTCACTACTGTTTTTGTTTTGTGCATTTCTTAGAATTGGCTGTGAAAGAGCACTATTTATTTGGACATGAAATCCCGAATTTGTAGTTCTGTTGAGGATGAATGGATGATAAATTGGGGGCACCATTCGGGAAATTTGGAGTGAGGAATTCTAGCCTAGGAGCTGGCAAATTACCCGACTGTGTTGGCTTTTTAGCTATGGTTACTACAAAATAAAATATTATCTATATCGATCAAATTGCTGGTTGTGCAATAAAGCAATAATAATTCTTTTTAGGATCAAACATCTTTATTGTTATGGTTTTGCAAAGTTTTTTCTAGCAAAGTTTTTTCTAGATTGATAGCGTGTATGCATATGTTGTGTATACCTGTGCGAATGTGTACCTATACTAATCGATACGCCCATAAAACAATCATTTGTAATTGCATATGCATATGCATGTAAATAATTTATAATGCTTTTCCTCTTGAATGGCGTTTACCAGTTGCCTCATATGTTGCCATTGGAGGAAGCATTTGCTACTGCTGTTTCTGCCCTTGGCATTGAGAATAAGGATGGGCTTCTTGTGTATGATGGAAAATTACTTTTCAGTGCAGCTCATGTTTGGTGGTGAGTTTTAAATTCAAACCAAAGAAACAAAATAGAAGCATTAAACTTGTGAGTTCTTTGATTATGAGTGAGAAACTCGTCAACTTCTTTTATATAACAGGATGTTCCATGTTTTTGGTCATGACAAAATTTGGGTTTTAGATGGAGGCCTGCCAAGATGGCGTGCTTCGGGATTTGATGTTGAATCAAGTGCTTCAAATGATGCTATCTTCAAAGCTCGTGCTGCCAGTGAGGCAATTGAGAAAGTATACCAAGGACAGCATGTAAGTCATTGGTTATCTATGTAAAATTGTGTTAACTATCTTTGGTTCATAATGCGTTAGTTGTTTGGATGATTGGTAGAAATCATCAATATTACACGTATTTCTCAGTCATCAATACATATTTTATGAGTTAAAATAAAGTCAAAGTTGCCAAAGACATCTGAATGTTGGCACTGTTGGCCAACCACTATATAATCTGCTTTCTAGAACCGTCTGTGTGTTTGAAGGTCACAAAATTGTCACATTACATAATGAGTTCAATAGTTCACAGAATGAAGGTTTTACTTGGAACATTATTTATAATTCAACCATTCCTTATGATGCAAGCTTACCATTCCTTTTGGCTTGTCATTGGACTACTATTTCTCTGTTCTGTAAAACCTTTCATTCTTCTACTATTGTGATGTGCTGTTCAAAAACGTTGATAGTGTTTACATTGTCTTAGTTTCTGTTTTGCTTAATGTTTTCAGATGTTCAAGAATTATTATGAATTCCAATCATTTATTGTCCAATCATTTTTTTTTCCAGATGGTCATGTTTTTAATGTCCAGCTTCCTCTTCTTTTTGGTGTACCAATGAACAATATCTTTTCCTTTGTGCCATTTTCTCATTCTCTTTTCTTGTGAGCATTTACTCATGGCCTTTTGCGTTACTGCATAAAAAAATAAAAATAAAAATAAAAATTTGAGGGTTCGTTTAGTAAACAATAATTTCCAGGTTGATGTTGGCTTATGTCACTTGTGCATTTAACTTATAAAAACTCCTTTTTTATTTATTTCTAACTTTACAGATGGGTTCATTCTTCATGGTTCTCAAGATATAGGGACTGTACAAGTCTGATTGTCGCATCTATATCATATCTTGTTTATCAGACTATAGTTTCGAGAATCGCTTGTAAGAAAAAATAATAAGAGAGAACTTACAAGAAAGCTACTAAGGTAATTGGTTGCAAGTATGGCTAAGCAAATGGATCTATTCTGTTGCAATTGGATTGATGGATCCGGTTCAACTGCAGTGGCCAAGGGGTAGGAATTTGCAAATTTCATGGTGCAATTTGGATTGTCTACTCAAATTTTTGTAGGTAGTGATTGTTCCTTCTTTTTTTTCTTTCTTTTTTTTTTTTTTTTTTTTTTTTTTTTTGTATATTATTCATGGAAGAGGTGATTAAATTTTTGTACAGAGGCATTTTTGTATATTATTTTTGTAGGTAGTGATTGTCCAAATTTTGTTTTTTTTTTTTTTTTGTTTTTTGTATATTATTCATGGAAGAGGTGATTAAATTTTTGTACTGAGGCATTTTTGTATATTATTTTTGAAGGTAGTGATTGTCCAATATTTTTTATTTTTATTATTTATTTATTTATTTTTAAGTTATGTGGTCTTGTATTATGTTCAAGTGTATTGATTCAAAAATTTGTAATGAGATTATCAATTTTTATGCAATTTCAAAATTTGTTCACAAATTGTCATTTTCAATTTTACAAATCAATTAATATAAATTGGTGTTAAAAAAACTATGACAACGTTTAAACAGCGTTGCAAAAGAAAAATCAATTAATATAAATTTGTGTAAAAAAAACTACGGCAACGTTTAAACAACGTTGCAAAAGACAGTCTTTTGCAACGTTGATAAAATGCTGCAAAAGCTAGTCTCTTGCAACGTTAAATAAACGCTGCAAAAAGTCTTCTCTCAATGGCGACATCGACCTTTGCAATACAAGGTAAAACGTTGTAAAAGGTCTTTTGCAGCATTTTTTTGCCGTTGCAAAAACTTTTTTTTGTGTAGTGTTATTTCCATCAAAATACATTCTTCAACTGTGACTTGACTCAATTTTAATCACACATTCTTCATTAAAATAGTATTACACTCAAATTTAAAACTTTTCTTTATTTTTAATTACATTTCTCATCAATACACTATTTAAAAATGTATTTTATTGTCAAGAATAGGGCTCAAAGAAGGGCATAATGTGTTGACTAAATTGTTTTCACTGCCATTTCATGAGAATAAAGAATATTGATTCATCGACATTGCTAATTTATAAGCCTGGTATGAGCCCGATTTTTCTCAAAACTTATTTTCAAGCACAAATTTTCCCATAAAAAAATTTTACACAACTAAAATTTTTCCATACTTTTTGACTAAGATTCTACAAAAAATCACCATTGAAAAACACATTTCTCCCAAAAAAAAAATAAAATAATAATAATAATAAAATGGGGGCTCAAATAGGTGTTAAGTATTACTATAAAAAAAAAAAAAATCATTTTTTGACCCACACAAAAAATTTATTGGTAAATAAAAAAATTGAAGAATTCTTATGTTTATAGAAGTATAAGAGCAATCCAATGAATTCTCTAAATACAAGATACTTCTATTTAAGAGAGTCAATACTAAAATATAAACCCATTAAACTCTCTATTTTGATCTCTTTTTTTTTTCTTTCATAATAGACTCCCTATTCTTACTTGGTAATTATTATTCTTTAAAAAATAGAAATATTTTTTAAAGCCAATAGTAGAATTTTCTTCCAAAATTTTTTATAGGATTTCTCCCCTGATGGTGTTGTGTGTGTGTGTGTGTGTTTTTTTTTTTTTTTTTTCAAGTTCTTTACATAAAAGAAGTGAAATGGAGTTTTCGTCATTATTTTGGTCAGAAAGTATACTTCAATCCGTAAATACTAAGATTTTCAAGAATGCTAACCTTTAATTGCACCTAGATCTAAGCTTTTTCTTAGAAACAAAAATTGGATCTTATATTTTCAATCATTTATCAGATGTGCAAATGACACTATTTACAGATGATTTTTTTTTCTTTTTTCTTTTGGTCACTTTTTATGAGTTGATGTTCTCTCATTATTATGTTGGACGTCTTGATTACGTCCAATTTATAAGATTATCGTTGAGTTTTGTTCTTTTGTGATGTTAGTCATGTAGTTCTTTGTCATCAATTTGTAGTAGAAGTTCATACCACAATTATATCTAACTATCTCTCTCAAAATAAGTTAAACATATTCTAAGCACGATTCAAAATATTTTTATTCTGAATACATATACAAAGTAATACATTCAATTACACAATTATTTATATGATTTTATACACCATATATTTTATCTCCAATATTTATTGACCGCATATTGACATTGCAGTATTTTAAACTTATTATTAACCTCTCAACACTATAACTAATTACAGTGGATAAGCAATCAATTAATGCAAAATTCTTGCAAGATTAATAAAAACTTCTTTTGATGGCTGTTCATGAAGATGAGACAAAACTTGATGTCAATATACTGCACAAATACACAAAACAGCTTACCTTTAAATTAAAAATAATTATACAAACGTTTCATCTTTATCCAATATAAGAAAATGTACCTTGCATGTTTTTAATGATTATACAACAAGAATAATAAAAAATCATCGCTTGAAGTGTGTATGAGTACAAGAAATCTTGATATTCATTTCCAAGCTTTAATTTTCAAATTCTTGATGTAATTTTCTTGCAATTCCTCACTAGGTTTGATCTTCTCTCCAAAATATGGTGGTTTAGCCCCCTCTTATTAGATTTTGTGATATGAATTGATTTAAGATGTTAGAGTGAGGTCCCCCAATCTTTACCCATGTTTTGGATTTATATTGGCCAAATATTAAGTGAAAATTGCATGAAAATTAGTTTTCAAAAGAGTTAAAGAGTTTCAATCAAATATGAAAAATTGTTCGTGCTAGTGTGAAGAAATCCATGTGATTGCATGGACATACCCCAATGATCACATATGCCTGCTGAATTGGCATCGGTATTTCAAGAAACAAGGATTGCAATCGCAACTCTTTGCACTTCGCACCCTTATGATCTTCCAGGGTTTGCGTTTTGATCCTCAAATTTTGTCCTTTGTTAAGTTGATTCCTTGCTTTGAGCAATTCTCATATTTTACCTTCTAATTCCATCCAATTGATATCTTGCATTCTTAATTCATCGTTTCTTGACTTTTGGATATTTATAATTTGGTCTCTAAACTTTGGAAATCTTTCTTTTTTGTCATTTTGCATTTCTTTCTTTAAATTTAACTTTTCAAACATCAAGTTTGTAATAACCATGTCAAATAAATAAATAATAGTCAAACCCAAAATTTGGGTCAAGACTCAAGAATGTCATGCTAAGGAAGGAAAAACAAAACCAGAAGAAAAAAAAAAAAGAAAAGAAAAGGGAGGGATAGCAAACAAAATTTGAGAAGTCTGACGGTGGAGTTGGACCTTCTAAACAATTGATATACATAAAAAAAAAAAAATCCAAATCCACCTCTTCATACCCTTATCATCTTCTGGATGTTCATATCTTTAAACCTGATCTCTTCCAAAGTAGTACTATATAATCAATGATATACCTACACTTATAGGTACATTTCTTTCTCTGACTCTGTCCTTGATTCATTTTCATTTGTAGCTAGCAAGTAGCAATGGAGAACCAAAGCAGCCAAAGAAACCTCGATCCTCTGCATAATCATGGCATTCGTATCACAACCCCTCAAGGCCCAGCTCCACCCAAAATCCATCGCTCTGATTTTCCTAAAGATTTTATCTTTGGTTCTGCAACATCGGCTTATCAGGTGTGTGTACTTAATGAGTTATGTTTCATATGTGGTTATGATTTTGTTTCTTTTTTCTTTGTTAATGCTCTCTACAGAAATATTCACCTTTTCAGACAAACTATTAATATTGATTTGTAGATAATAATAAGAATTGCTAAAACAATCTTGAGAATGCGTATATACGTGTAAGGCTCATGCATATGTTGTTAAATTCCATGTGTTCTTCCTAATAATATGGGGAAAAAACGTGCAAACGAACACTCTAGTTGGAAGAAATCGAAAATCGAAAATATTATTCAATGAAAATGAAAAAAGAGAAAGAAACTTAAATTAATTTAGATGGTCACTTAGCCTCTCTACGCAAGGTTAGAATGCTCAACACTCATGCATGCACCCCTTTTTCTCTTTTTCTGCTTTTCTCTCTGCAGTCTACACTATCGGACATAAATTTATGAGCGAGTTTTTCACCCAATACATAATATTATTCAATGCAGCTGACCAATTAAAAATATTAATTGAGTGAAATCTAACATGTAATTCGTTTTCTGGGCCATATGTGTAATATTTGCAGGTTGAAGGTGCCTGGAATGAAGATGGTAAAGGCGAGAGTAATTGGGATCGTTTCACATCCGATAATCCTGGTTTCTTCTTCTTCTTCTTCTTCTTCTTCTTCTCTCTCTCTCTCTCTCTCTCACACACACACACACACACATGCCTCACACAAACACGTGTATGTATGTATCCATTTTTGAGGGATTTTGTTGGGATGGCAGAAAAAATTCAAGATCAAGGCAATGGACGTTTGGCTATTAATCACTACCATCAGTGGAAGGTACTTCACCATTCCATGTTTATTCCAACTTTGACATTTGATGGGCCTTATTTAATTTAAACTTCTAACGTTCTAGTGTAAATAACACTTGACTTAAATTAATTCGGGAACTTATCTTTCTCGCTTGAAATAAAATAAAATGCTTAATAAGATAGATTTAGACCAAATTATTTATTGAATACTAATGGGAAAATAATACATCAACAAATAAGTTCACTTACAGGTAAAAAATTGTTTATAGGTAAGTTTTTAGATGCGGAAAATCTTTTATTTAGACGAATAATAAGTAAGAACATTAACTTATGGAAGCTGTTACACTTACAGGGGTCTATTTTACAAACCTTGCAAAATCCCTCACAGTCGCAGGGCTTCTTTCTAATCCTATCCTCAACAAATCATAATCCTTCTAATCTTTCCCCTTAACACTAAATTAATGCAACCAAAGTAATTTAAATTTAATTGTTTTATAATCATATTTTAAGCTCCATTACTTATAAGTTAATATGTTAAGCTCCAAACATAATAAAAGCATAACTCGAACATAACTTTTTCAATCTAGTTTCATTGGACTTCAATGACGACCCTGTCCTTTATTAATTTCCATTTTCAATTTAGTTGTTGCGTTCCATAGTAAGAAGAAGATATCAAGAGGAATTCTTTTTAATCATTCTCAATAATGTCACAGGAAGATGTTGCTTTGATAAAGAAAGTGGGTTTTGATTCTTATAGATTTTCAATTGCTTGGACAAGAATACTACCGGGTATGTCTGAATGCATACATGCAGTGCATCATTTTTTTAATAAAAAATAATAATCAATCTTTTAGATGTAGTTTAAATTGGTATTTCAGGAGGAAGATTAAGTATTGACATGATTACATGTAGTGCATCATTTTTTTTTTTTTTTTTTTATAAAAAATAATAATCAATCTTTTAGTTGTACTTTAAATTGGTATTTCAGGAGGAAGATTAAGTGCTGGCGTAAACAGAGAAGGAGTTAATTACTATAATAGTCTTATAAACTTGCTCGTGGCTGAAGGTGGTGTTATTTATCCTTTACAATTGGTGTTTGTTTCTATTTACTTAACGAGTTAAATGTTAAAATTAATATGGTTTTATTAGAAAGCAGAAGTAAAGGGTGAAAAATCTTACCTTGGATTCTTATAAACCATTTTACAGGCATTACACCTTGTGCAACTATCTTTCACTGGGATGTTCCCCAATGTTTGGAAGAGGAGTATGGTGGCTTTTTAAGCCCTCAGATTGTGTAAGTAATTCAATATTGCATAACTAGGCAGAAATTACTTGGAAGTTTCCAGAAAATGAAAGCAAATTCAAGGGAAAGAAGGATATTTTTTTCGGAAACTGGATTTATTGTACGAAAATTGAGTAAGCTAATGTTGTAGTTAAAAGGTATTACACTGTAAAACTTATTTTCATACATTATTGTATTGTAGGGAAGATTTTTCCGATTTTGCCGAGATTTGCTTCTGGGAATTCGGTGATCGTGTGAAACTTTGGATCACATTGAATGAGCCATGGAGCTTTGCTGTTTCCGGATACGCGTTAGGTATTTTTGCACCTGGCCGGGGTCCAACACAAGATGAGAACGTAACAATAGCTGTCCATCGTCATAGATGTAATGTTCAGGATACAAATATTTGCGGCGAGGGAAATCCAGGCACGGAACCGTATATTGTCGCACATCATTTGATCCTTGCACATGCAGTAGCAGTTGATATATACAGGAAAATCTTTCAGGTTGTTGTTTTTATCTTATGCAAGCAATTCTTTTCACTTTTGAGATTCTGTATTAGTTTATGCAAATACATTTGTACAGAAACTTCAAGGGGGCAAGATTGGGGTCACAAATGTCACAGCATGGTATGAGCCATTCAATAACACAACAGCTGATAAAGAGGCTGCTTCAAGGGCAGTTGATTTTGCGTTGGGATGGTAATTGCCAATTATATTTTGTATATCTTCTCATAAATAAGAATAGCAAATCATTTTAAGGAAATGAGCAGACTTTAAGTGAGACATAAAATGACTTCTAATCTAGAATTTCTCTTCCTGGTCGTAAGTCTCAATCCTGTTTTTGTGCTTTTTCAGGTTTGTAGCACCCGTGGTTACTGGTGATTATCCACCAGTTATGAGACGATTACTAAGAGACCGCCTTCCCAAATTTACACAAGAACAGGTTACTTTGGTGAAGGGATCCTATGACTTTTTAGGAATAAACTACTACACTACTCATTATGCAACAAATGCACCTAAGGCACCTGGTGCAAAACCAAGTTACAATAATGATCACGAGGTTCAAACATCAAGTAAGTATGAGATATTTTTAAAGTACATGATGACATCAACTTTTTGTGTCAATACACTCTTGTAATGTGGTTCTCACTCTCACATAACACTGTAGCTGCACGCAATGGGATGCCGATAGGTGAACAGGTATGTTTTTCACTTTTCCCTTTCCTCACAATAAAATCAGATAATCCAACAATTTATGCTTACCCGCAGAAGAGATTTCAATGATTTATTCTAATGCATTACTGCAACAAGTTTCTAGTATAATTTTAATGTCCTTGATTTTGTCAGGCTGGTTCTAGTTGGTTGTACATTGTTCCAGAAGGGCTTTACAAGCTCTTGGTTCATTTGAAAGAAAGATACAATAATCCCAATATTTACATCACAGAGAATGGTAAATTCACAGCGTCTTTTTAGAGTATTTTTCTACAGAAAAATATCTTTTGCTCTTTATCAGTAATAATGCTATTTAATGGATGATTTTGTGCAGGAGTGGATGAATTGAACAATAGAACAACAGTTGCACAAGCCCGGTTTGACGATATGAGGGTTAGATCTCACCATGACCACCTTCTCCAAATTAAGAAAGCATTGGAGTAAGTCATCATTCATATAATTATTGAATCAACCCAAATATTAACTTGCGAAATTAATTGACTATCTCATAATAAAATGAATGTTCATAATTTCGCTTTCGTCTTCAGCCATGGTGTTCGTGTGAAGGCTTATTACTTATGGTCAATGTTCGACAATTTTGAATGGGCCGATGGATACACGGTTAGATTTGGTATTATTCATGTAGATTTTGAGAATAATCAGTTGAAAAGGTTCCCGAAAAGCTCTGCTTTATGGTGGATGGAATTCTTGAACGTGATGAAGGTAAAGAAGCAGATCAAGAAGAAGAAGAAGCACAAGTTCCTTTTGTTCTGAAATGTTATGTTGAATAATGCAAGAATAGATGGATGCGTGCGTGCAACAGTCCCTTTTGTTCGCTTGCAGCTTGATGTGGGGATCGAAAGCTCGGTTTCTGCAAACGAAAGATTTTGAGTGTGTTCCAGTGTCTATGGTTTGTGGAATAATGCATGTTTGGATGCGTTGTGTTTGTATATAAATGTGTGTGCGAATACTATTGTAATTGATGTAATGAGTTTAGGTTGTGAAATTGTGTATTTCTGTTCAGAAATTCTATCACTTCAAACGAAAACATATGCGTTGGTCACTTCACTTAATTGGGACAGAACCGTTTTCACTGCCATTTCATGAGAATTAAAGAATATTCATTCATCGACATTGCTAATTAAGTATTACTATAAAATATTATTTTTTTGACCTACACAAAAAATTTATTGATAATAAAAACATTGAACAATACTCATGTCTATAGAAATATAAGAGCATATCAATACAATATATTTCTATTCTAGAGAGTCAATAATTAAAAATAAACTCCATAAAACTCTCTGTTGGTATTAACAGTCCCAATAATCCAAAGAAAGTATAGAAATATAAAAGAATACGAAAATTTTTTCGTCCGAAGGTCCAGATGTTCACCCAAAAAGGCTACGTCACCACGTTGAGCTTCCACCAAAGTGGTTAACGCTCTAATCCCCTAGAAACCAGCAATAGAGTATCAATACAAAGTTTACAAACTACAGATCTAAAAAGATCAACCCTCAGACCCTATTTTTTTCCTCACAGATCGAACAGACAGATTACACCAAGTAATCGACCCTCACTGTTCAACCAAGAACAGATACAATCTCTACACCAAATACACAAACCAGATCTCACCAAGAACATCAAATGATTTAGAGATTAAAACCAAAAATCAGAGGTTTTTCGAGAGAGAAAATTACAGAGAGCAAAAATGAAAAGCTAAACCCTATAAGTCTCTCGAATGAATGGTAAGTGAAAAGTCTAGGGCCAAGTATAGTGGAACGTCATTTGCATCCAACGGTTCAGCCGACTCCACCTGGTACCATCTGGTCCATCCAATTAAAACAAACTAAAATCGCATTTGGAGGAAACACGACTTTGCACAAGTGGGGGCAAAAACCAGGTCACAAAACTTGGGCTCAAGTGTTGGGTTCCATCATTGGGCCTGAAAGGTGTTAAGCATTTTATTTAACACTCTCTATTTTAACTTTTTAAGATATAGAATATCAAACTCAATCTCCATTCTTACTTTGTAACTGTTAATCGTAAAAAAATAGAAATTTTTTTAAAGCAACAGTAGAATTTTCTTTCAAAGTTTTGCCAGGATTTTTCCCCTTTTGGGAAACTTTTGGCTGTGTTTTTGTACAAGTTCTTTGTATAAAATAAGAGAGATGGAGTTTTAGGCATTATTTTGGTCGGAAAGTACACTTCAATCCGTAAATGTTAAGATTTTCAAGAATGCTGACCTTTAATTGCACCCTGATTCGAGACATCTTTTTATAATTAAAAAATTGAATCCTAGATTTTCAATCATTTATTAGACGTGAAAATGACATTATTTACAGGCGATTAAGAGTTTGTCTGGTATGAGTTGATGTTCTCTCGTTATTGTGTTAGAAGGCATGATTACGTCCAATATCTAAGATTCTCGTTAAGTTTTGTTTTTTTTCTTTTGTGACATTTGTCATGTATTTCTTTGTCACTAACTTGTGTTAGATGATCAACTACTACTCTTGTTGCAAATTATTAAGCTATTGAATGCCATTTCATGTTTCATGTGTGTATTTCCATATATGTTGTCTTCAACTATAAACCATAACGGTAACAACTATAGGTTGAAGTATATGTATACACAAGCCAGTTTCGCTGTTTCACATGTATTAATGCATTAGTGCCTAGTTAATGTTTTTTGCCCTAAACCAATAACATGTTACATCAATCCTGACACCGAACTTTGAACCAATTCTATGAAGTGTCCGGAGAGAATCAGTCAAATATATCTTTTTGGAAATCTCTCTCCGTCTTGGTTCCAATGCATCAAACCTTGCAATTTTTTATTATTTGTAGAGAAAGTTATTGTTAAATATACTCAATAATACTTCATGCCTCTCAATGTCAGAAATTTTTTAATTAAATAGAATCAAAATCACAATTAAATCTGGTACCTATCAATTGTAATATTCATTAATGGTAACCTATTAAATATGGTGGTTTTCCTTATATTCGAGCTTTCCTTATATTTGAGATTTTTTTTATATTCTAGTGACATTCCCATCAAATTGATACTCATAAAGGAATCAATTTGAAATCATAAATTGGAGCCTTGACAGTGCTCGTACCCACGAAGAAGAGACATAAATTATAGCAATCATCTACAAAAAAAAAATAACAATGAGAGATCTAAGAACAACGAATAGTGCATAAACAACCAAGAACCACTTTGAAAACCACTCCAAGAACACTCTAAAGTCATTTTAGAGAGCTCACATCTCAAGAGAATTTTTAAAAGGAATTCACAAAGTGTGTTTTGATCACACATAATAATCTCTACCAGTCGAGAAAACTCGATCGAACACATAATCCATGTTCCAACAAAATCTCTAACGGCCAATGCACCAGTCAAAAATTTATCATTATATCACTGCCAATATGTTACAGTTGGAAGAAATTTCACTGAACAGCCTATACCAAAAACTCAAAGATGATCCTCCTTTGAGAATTCAAAATTCTAGCACATCATCTGAAAAGCCAAAATCACAAGAAGAAATATTTTCACAACTACCAAAAAAATTCCTTTAGCATTCACACCTTTCTTAAGACAACTTCCCACATCTTCCCAACCATTTACACTTGTTACTTTGGAGTCAATGCCAAATATTCAGAGAAAAATATCCCATAATTATGCAATCCCCAAAAAAATTCAATAATTAGCCGAATTATGCAGCTCAATATTCAGCCTTACTCACTAATCTCCCAAAATTTTAAATAAAGTAGCCCAACAATACTTCAACCTAATAATCAACCCACAAAACTATATCCCAATAATATGTCCGATACATTAATAAAGTGGCACAAACTAAGATTAAATATAGAGAAAATTACACAGAGAGCTGTTTTTAAAGTTTAAATTTCATTATTCAAATTTTAAGTTTAAACTTTCATAAATCAGGTTATAATTATTTATTTAATATTCTTAACAAATATATTTTTAATAATCAATAAATTAGTTACCGTCATTTACGCTAGTGGGAGAGAGAATTTTTAAAATCAAATTTCATTAACTCTAATATTCTATTTCCAGCAACGGAGAAATTGAATATCATTCTTCAACCAACAGTACCAAGTTCGCCTGAGAGATTTCCTCATTTTTGACCGCTTTCACCGGTGTTTTTGCTGAATCTCTCCTCCATACTTCATTCATTCAACCTTATATTGTAATTCAAGAACTTATTAACCCTAACTCCTTACAAACCCAAATCGAAAATGCCATTAACAAAAGAGTGTAGATCAAAAATCTCGTTCTAGTAGGTGTAGGTCCCTCTCTATCTCCGTAGGTGGGTGCAGGTGCTAATGTGCACATTTACACCTTTGGGTATGTGGAGATCATGATTGCTAATATTAAGCAAGCTGAGCAGCGTTTGACTACTTTGAGTTTGGAGTTGAAGGTGAGAATATGAAAACTTATTCTCTTTGGTATGTTGAGATGCATTGCGTACAATTCTTATCAAGTTAAATACATTCCTTAGGTTTGTTCTGTCAAGGTTTCCAATTGATTCCAATTCTGTAGAGTTGAACAATAGTTCTTTTGGTCAAGTTTCATGTTATAATTACAATAATTACTTACTTAATTATTAAAATTGTTGGAAACAAGGACTATTTAGGAGTGTTTATTGTTTCATATCTAGGCTTTAGGTTTGCACTTATTTCTGGAAACGCATCCCCCATCCAACCTCTGCACACCAACACCAACCCTTATAGAAAAGCGAAAACTTGCACACCAACACCAGCCCTTATATTTCCAGCAGGTTGCATGTCGTGATTTGTACCGATATTATCCTGACACTGACCCACCTCCATTCTTCCTAACGAGGAGGGAGGAAAAATTCAATGTGGTATTAAAATCTTGTTCAATTAATTGTATGTAGGCTTGTAAAGAAATTTTGGCTAACTAATCTGAAATGGTATAAGCTACATATAAATAATGTGTTATTGGTGCTTTCAAAACTATGTAGACTTGTGTAATAAGGATTGGCTAGTATTGTGTAATCTGGGATGCAGATAATTAGATTGGATTATTTTGTTTATAATAATTTGTATTGGTCAATCACTGCTTCTCGTACATTCTACAGGTTGCTGAGTCAAATAGAATTATGATCTAGAAATATCAACCTTAAAGCTCTAAATGAAGGAGTTGGGCCAGAAGTTAAAGAGAGCAATGCTCATGAGCAATCATATGAAAGAGAAGCTAGGATGCTAGAACAAGAAAAAATTCACCTAGAGTAGAAGTACCAATTCGAGTTTAATATATTTGAGCAAGCTACAAAGTGAGGGGAAAATGGGGAACTAAATGATTGATGTATTCATTTTTTTAAACAAAAATTTATATACTTGAGAGATGAATAGTTGATGTACGTACTATATGGTTGAAACATTTAATGTGTATGAATATGAATTTATTTTGTTTTGGTTAATAAATTTATTTTGTTTGTTCATGTTACTGTTGAAATTTTGGACGTGTAAGTTTGCGTCATTTAAGCATGTCGTATGAGATTTTTTTCCTATCATTTAAGTTGTTCATTTGTTACTTCATTTTGCTAAAAAAATGTCTTCCGCTACAAGTCAAAGGTTGTATCACAAATCACATATAATTGGTAACATATCACAATTAGACATATATCTGGTCACATGTACCAAATCACTGCTCCCAGGCCATGGGTCACAAGTCATGGGTGAAAATTGGTCACATGTCCTTTGTTACCACTTATAATTCAATTGTCAAAGTTGAATGAGCACTTGTTACATGTCACGAGTCTTTACGCAATTGATAGAGTCCATTGATTTATACTCACATGTCACAGGTACCAGTTCATAGGTTACATATCATTGTACACAGGTCACAATATCCACAAGTTACAGATCAAATAGAATTGGTCACCAATTACTGATTTATGTCTACATGTCACAAGTTATAGTTCACAGATCGCTAGTAACACGTAACAGTTCGCA